ATTTTTGAAAATGCCAGGGTTCTCATGGTTGGGGAACAAAGGGAGAGCGGCCAGGCAAGGAGGCTGCCCTAGCAGAATCTGCTCTTCACTCCGAGGCTGGTGCCAGTGAAGTCAGACTCTGGAGAGAAGGCTGGGTGAGGCTGGGTACTCACAGCTCTTTACCAAGACTGGAATTTTATTTTTGTTTTGTTTACTTTCTGTTGCTGTGATACACACCACGACCACAGACCACTTGGGGAGGTACGGGTTTATTTGGCCTCACGTCCTGATTATCATCTATTATTGAAGGATGTCAAAGCAGAACTCAACCATGAGCAGACACAGGAACCACAGGAGAAATCTGCTTCCTGGCTTGCATCCTCTGATGTGTTCAATCCATTTTCGACAGCACTGGGCCACCTGCCTAATCATGGGCTACCCCCCCCCGTCAATTAACAACTAAGAAAATGCCCCATAGACATGACCTAGAAATTCCTCAGCTGAGGGTCCCTCTTCCTGGCTATCTCTAGGTTGGGTTACGTTGAAGACCCAAACTATAACAGATTCCCAGGTCTCACATCTGCCAGCTCACAACCACCTGGAACTGTTCCGAGAGACCAAACACCTTCTCTCAGGTCACTGAGGGCAGCTGCATAGACACACTGCGCCTAGACACCCTCAGACACATATACATAAAATAAATCTTTAAGAAAATGAAACTAGACTCTGACTTCGCTAGTAGAAGGGCACTCTGCATAATCAATGAGCTCCTAGGAGAGAAAGGCTGAGCCATCTCTGTGCCGCAGGCAAAGTATCAGTCCTAGGGCTCTGCTTAGTTTTCACCCAGATCTTCAAAACCATCAGGTTTTCCCCTTAGCAAGACATCAGCAGTGCTGTTTCTCAAACGTAGTCCAATGAATGTCTGATCACGTGTTCTCTTCCACTGGTCCACGCCCAGGCTGCCCTGGTCTCTCCACAGTTTTTCTTACTCAGTGTAACACATGCCTAATTCATGAATGACCCTGTAATCTCAGGCTCATCATCAGGGAGGAAGTCTGAGGGCAAAGGTCACCTGCACAGGGACAGACAGGATGAGGGAGCTCTGACCCAGGGAAGCTGGGCATGGTGATTACACCTGACTACCTCTCAAAGCTATCGAGCCCCAAAATTGGATTGTGAGAAAGGAAAGGAGAGAGAAGGGAGGGGACACTTTCTCCTCTTGTGGAGCTGGGATCTGGGGCCAGGGTCTTATTCGTGCTAGGCAAAAGACTCACCATGTAGACCAGGCTATCCCGATGCTTCTGCCTTAGCCTCCTGCGTGCTGGCATTACAGATCTGCCATGATCGCCAGTGCCATCCTGCTGTCTGTGCATTCCTGCTCTGAGGCTCCCTGACATTCCCAGCATCCTCGCTGGAAACCCAGCTGAACTGGCTATGGCAAGAATCTTCCATTTGATCATAACAGCCCTGCCCCACAAGGAAGAGACCCCGTTCCCGATGCATCTGCCCCACACGGACACAGAACCTGGCCTTGGGAAGAGATCACACTCCCTATGTATCAGCCCCACACAGAGACAGAATCTGGCCTTGGAAAGAGACCCCGTTCCCGATGTATCTGCCCCACATGGACACAGAACATGGCTGTAGATCTTTCCACACTCTTCCCCACATGAATGGCATTGTCCACCTCCCGCTCCCGTCTCTTTACAGAGCTAACACTTCACCCGAAGCCTGTCAAGACCCTTCCCAAGTTCACTTGGCTTCTCTGTACCACTAGGGGCCTATTTTCCCTGGAAAGGATATATCCAGGCCCCATTTTTCAGCAATCCCAGATCCAGGCAAGGCCTCAAGATAAGAGGAAGCTGTGGCATTGACTCCAGCCTCTTCCATCATCACACTAAAGCTAGGCCTAGATTCTGGGTGCCAATCATGGCTTCTGCTCTTCTGGTTTTCCCAAAAAAGTCCAGAGAGGGTGAAGAGGCCTGAACAATCTTATGAATTCAGGTCCTTCACATTGGCCTCCTCCACTCTCCTCCAGGAACAGGATGTGCTCAAGGGCTTCACAGACAGCCGGATGTGCCCCTGGGACAACAGCTGAGGCCTTGCCCCAAGGGAATTCAGAGGACACTGTTCCCCCCCCCTCCCCCGTCTCCTTTGCCCACTTGGCCCTGGGCCTTGGAAACAGTCTTGCTGAGCTGTCCCATACTGGGCAACTGAGCTGCTCTGTGGTCCACAGTTAATCATTTGCATACCGACATGTTGGCTGCTGTGCTGCAGGATATGAGAGGGGAACCAGAAAGCAATGACCCAGATTTCACCACACCAGAAGGGCACTCGGAGCTTTGGGGGCCCATGGAAGGGAAGTTCACCTCTGCACAGCCTCCTAGCCCAGAATGAGGATCACTACGGGGTGGTAAATCACAGCATCGTCAGCAAATCTCCATGACACAGAGAACAGGACTTCATTTTCCCAACTGTCTAGATCCCCTTCTGGTCACACTTTCCAGCCAAAGGTTCCACTAATTTAAAACATTTGGTGGGAAAATAATGTTGGGACATTATTCTTCAGGGAGAAAATCTGCTTGGTTTGAATTCAGCTCTAATATGCAGGGAAGAATATGAGCTACATCACATGACAGGATAATGACAAATGGGCTAATTACCATCTTATCTGAAGACAAATCTACTTGGCCTAAGAGCAGGAGCCATTATTTCACAGAAATAATGACCCAGATAGAAAGTAACGACAGCAAGCCATGGGAGCCGGGGTATGCCTTCAGCTCGGCCTACCTGAATGGCAAAGAACAAGAAAACCCACTCCCCTTCCCCTAGCAGTCATTAACTATCATTAGCATATATTCTGTATGTTTGTTAAACACAGAATGAGCAGGTGTCAATTATAACTAATTACTGACTCCTCAGACTGTGGTGCCTATACTATATACATATCATATAGATAACGGCGGGGAAAAGAATGCTGGGATAAGAAGAGAAGTTAAAAGTTAAATAAAATATGGCTAACGTCCTCCAGGGCTTAGACCCTATACAGATGTTACAGATGTTGCACTGAGGAAGCACAGCAGCCAAGCAGCCCACAAAACAGGGCCCTGCTTCCTGAACATCTGATGCAATGGGCCTACCACACAGTGGTCTGGTCTGGTCAGGGCCAGGGCACCTATAATTAATTTTGAAATGAGCATATTGGAGACAGTGTCTAGAGTCTCCGTCTCACGGCTTCCCCAGACAGCCCTTAGCTACCCCAAGCACAAGCAACGGAGCTGCCATCATGGGTCTCCCATGCTTCAGGTCATCACGGGATTTCAGTCTCTAGGGAGTCCTCATCCAGCTTTATTAGAGCATTATTTGCAAAGAAGATGGTCCTACCGATATATGTATACACTTCATGATTTAGAAAGACACTGCTCTCGCATCCATACATGTGTCAACACAGACCAAGCCACCTCCATTTCTAAATAATCACCTACCTTCTACTAGAGTAGAAAAAAACCAGCATGCTAGTAAAATTAGCAGGATCGAACCTGAACCTGAACCTGAAAGCTCATCTGACTCCTGGTCTATAGGGCTCCCGGCTCCTTCCAACATGAGTGGTTCATGCCAGAGTCTGGGAGACTGAATGTTCAGCAAACGCTGAAGGCAAAGGGAAGGAAGAAAACAAACACCCGCTAAAGGACAGTCTTGTTACTCTACCTTTCTGCAAAATTCCTCACGACGTTCCCAGCAGAGGTCTCTGCTGAGGGCTGTCTCTCTCTGGTCCCCACTTCACATGGCCTCTATGTAGGATGCTTTGGTTCCAGGTGCCCCCACAGTCTCTCATAGATGCTAGTCCCTGTGCTTGGAGACATCTCAAGCTGGACCAGCGGAGTCCTGACCCCTCCCATCTCAGCTTCAGCACCTTCCCTACCCTGGTACCACCCTGGCAGCCTCTTTGGCCTGTGGGTCAAATCAGTTGCTCCCTCCTGGCAGTGTTCACCCACTGTGCCCACCTGTCACCACCACAGTGAGTTTGTTCTTTGCAGCCCAGAAACTAGTTCTAAACAGTCAACAAGATTTACTAGCGCACATGAGCGCACACACACACACCACAATTTAATATAAAACATACGACAGTGAGATCTGTAACTCAGATTGGGAAAATGCTTGCCTAAAATGATCAAGTTTCTCAGTTCTACCCCAGTACCACAGAAGCTAGACATGGTGATCCACACCTAGAAACCCAGCACTCTGGAAACGAAGGCAAAGAGGATCCGAAGCTCAGGGCCGTTCTTGGCTATACAGTGACTTTGAGGCCAGCTTAGACCACACAAACCAAACAAACAAGGCAGGCTGTTCCATGCCAGCCACAGTGCATAGGAATATTGTATGATGGCCTGTGCACATAGGTCAGCATTCGTACTCTCCAGACACTGCTAGGGCTCTTGGCAGCACATGAAGACTACACACAAGAGAACATACGTGGGAGACTACCATACGAGCGAACACGATGCACATGTCTGAAGTGCAGACATCCCTTCTGCTGCAAATGCCATGTAGAATTCAAATAGAGCCTGCAAATTGGGTAGAAACGGCCTATGACCACTGCCAACACAGAACAAGCTCACCACCAAGCACCATTCTTGGTGTTCGGCAGTCCCTGCAGGCAGGCAATGTTACCTGGTACAATAGTATACCTGTGGCCTCAGGACTCTGGCCAGGAAAGAAAGGGGCTGTAGCAACAAAGTCCTCCCAGAACAAGGGAGAGGTGGCATCTGGGGCGGGGGGGCAGACCCTTTGGGGGCTTGAGTGTATACGGTAGTGAGTCTGCAGGCCTGTGGGCCGGGATCCCACTGGGGCCCTACAAGACAAGACATGAGGTCGCCTCAACCTGGACAGTAGAGCCACCTTGCTCCAGAGCCCCCCAAGCTGTTGTCTGTGAGGTGGCTGACCCCTCTGCCTGCTCTCCAGCAGTCCACTCAGGCCCCTGCTCTGTGAGCCCGCATCTCCCAATGCATTGTGAGGCTCACCTTCTTAATAAACTCTGGGACGAGCTTCTGTTTTTCCAGGTGGTCTAAGGAGGCACAGTAATCCAATTCCAAGATGTAGCTTTCATTGTGAAGCTCGGTCTTCTGAGACCTGAAGGAAGAAACAAAGTGTGAAATTCTGCAGTCTTCTTTTATAAAAAGAATCACAGGTTAATGAAGCCCCCAAATCATTCATGAATGTAATTGACAAAAAGCATTGCTGAAAAACAATTTATGGTAAATAACTACATACATACACACACTCACGTGCATACACATGTGTATGTATCTCCATGTCACTGTAAGAGCTCCAAGAAGGTTATACATGTTCTCAGCTCTTGGGAAGCTAACCCAGGAGCATCGAGGTTTTACAGCCAGCCTGGGATCTCAAAGAAAGGACAGAGAGAGAAAGTGGGACAAGAAAAAGGAAAGGAAGGATGAAGGAGATAAGGGGAAGAAAGAGAGAGTTGGTCTCCGAATAAGACTTTATAGAATGATGGTATAGGCAGTGTGGCTTATACAGTAGATAATACAAAGATGTCTGGGAGGAGGGGCCTCTCAGGTGACTTCCACTGGCTTCATCTACTAGGAAGAGTTAGGAAGAGACACACAGAGCCAATCAGAGCAGAAACTCTGGATGGAGAGGCCTCTGGGGCACAGGGACTGGGGGCAACAGGGTGAGGGTGACTGAAAGTGACTTGAGCTGTAGCTTTGAGGTCTTCATCTGTTAGTGAAGGAAACAATATTCACAGATCACTTAGAAAATTAATTTGGAAGGCGTTTAAAGGGCTCAAGCCCTACAGAGGAGAAGCTGGCAAAAATCTACCAAAATGAAAGATTAAAGCAAAGCAGTCGGTGTTGGGCCAGTGAGGTGGCTCAGAGGCCAAAATCATTTGTTGCCACGCCTGGGTGCAATCCCTGAGAATTCTCATGGTAGAAAGAAGAAAACAGGCTCCCACAAGTTGTCTTTTTACTTCCACATATGCGTGTATGTGGAAGTATACGTACACACACACACACACACACAATGAAAAGGTAGACTACGAGGCATGCCTGGTTCACCCCACCTCCTGATGGCTGAGTCGGCTCCCCTCACACCTCCACCGACCCACCCTGACTCTGCACAGGCAGGGCCATCAGGAGCAACATGAGCAAATGGCCACCAGAGAGAGATGCCACTCATTCACAGGCATCCTTCTGAGGACTTCTGTGTGGGAAGAGCATGGGCCTGGGGAACTCAGGAGGCTGCATGGTGTCAGAAGTGGAAGGAGCTTCCTAGGCCCAGCAGACCTGACATGACATGAGGTACAATGAAAGATCAACTCAGGATGTTGTCTATCCTAGGTGGCTGGTCACAGGGCTCCCTACCACACTGCCCAGATGCTCTGCACAAGCTGAAGAGTGAACTGGGCCTTCTGGGCACAATGAGGCTTCTCTACCAGAGGCCTATCCATAAAATCCCTAAAGTGCATTCTTACACACACACACACACACACACTACATACCATATATACACACAAACTTACATACATATACCACACACACTCAAACACAACACACACAACACACACACACTCACGAACACATCCCACAACCCACATACCACACAGTACAGTACACGTAAATACATATTTGTTATGATAGCTTAAAATGAATCGCCAAGGTTTTCATGTACAGTGAAAGACAATTTATGCTTCTATTAACCATCAGGTTATGATTTACATAAAATTTAAAAGAGAAATAATTAAAGAGGAGTTGGCATCCCCCAGGTGTGAGACTGTGGTTGAGTAAGTGACTTCAACAGGTTATTTTTACTGTTCTGCTTCCTGAACCATATCCTTTCTGGGGCTGCATCATGTTTGAGACATAAGAGAATAGGCTGACTTCAAAGCAGCCCATATGGAACAAACCAGTTCTAACAGTGAACTGGCTCAGAAGCCAGCCATCTTGTTTCAATGCTTGCTCAAAGATTTAGTCATGCTCTTCCTTCTTCCCCTAGGGAAACTAAGTCAGGAGACTCCGGACCTTTGAATGAGATTTGGTCATGATAGACTGTCCTAAGTGAGGTCTCAAACAGTGAAGACCACGATGGGGGAGGGGAGCTCTAAGAGACATTTAGTCCTTACAGAGCTTGCCATATACGCCTGAGGAATAGCCCTGAGCTCAATCCCAAAACCCTCATAAAAATCCAGGCCTGGCAGGGTTTATAATCCCAGCACAAGGGGGCAGAGACAGGTGAATCCCTGCAAATCCCTGGCCAGCCATACTGCCTAGTCTAATTAGTGAACCCCAGGTCCCAGTGAGAGATCTATCCCCCAAAAGCAAGACAAACAGTACTTTGAACAATACCTAATGTTGATCTAATGTTGTACATAAACACACATGAAAGCATACATACATCCCAGCTCTTGCTCACATGGGGAGTAAGGTCAGTTACATGCAGTTATTTATAATGGGCATTAAGAAAACCAGTCCACAAATCACAATCCCAGAGAACCTAGACAACAATGAGGACCCTAAGAGAGACATACATAGATCTAATCTACATGAGTAGTAGAAAAAGACAAGATCTCCTGAGTAAATTGAGAGCATGGGGACCTTGGAAGAGGGTTGAAGGGGAGGGGAGAGGCAGGGAGGGGAGCAGAGAGAAATGTAGAGCGCAACAAAAATCATTTTTAAAAGTTAATAAAAGAAAAAAAGATTATCATTTCAGGTCATAGTCTAGGACACACTAAGGGGAAGTCGAGGCAGGAAATTAAGCAGCTAATCACATCATATCCACAGTCAAGGGCAGAGAGAAACAAAGACAAACGGGCCTACTCATGTGTAATTGCACTCAGATAGCTTGCTCCTCTCTTACAGTGCTCAGGAGCGGCCGGCAGTAAGTTGAGCCTTTCTATATCAGTTAACAGTCAAGGATTCTGAGCTAGGCAATTGCTCAGTTGAGGATCTCTTCCCATGCGAGCTTAGGCTGGGTCACTACGGCATGCCTCTATTAGCCTCCAGCACAAGCTTCACACATGGTCTTGTAGCTCAGAAGCTGGTGGATGTAGAGCTAGCTAGAAGGGTGCCTTACCTACTGTAAGCCTTGAGACAGCGTCTCCAAACTTTCTAGGCTTCAGTTGCTCTCATGGTAGGTAGACAGTGGTGAGTAACTCTCTGTTAGAGACTGCAGGGGGGCAGGACAACACCGAACTCCCAGGACACAGAGCAAACAGAGCCTTAATCAATATCACAGAGGAATCCTCGGAGGGCGCCGAACACAGAGGTGACAGGACTTGATCGTTCTAAAAGGATTTTTCCCTGCCAGCTGCGGTCCAGACAGATGCTAGCACTCCAAGTGGGATGGCTATGGTGAGAAGCAATAGGTTCTGTTCTCACGGCAGAATCTTCGTGATAACCTTCTGGTGGTAGAGTGTAAAAGGAAGAAAGCAGACACGAGGACTCCAAGAATTAGTGTCTTTGCAGTTAGGGGAGTGGGTGAACTTGCCAGGATCATGATGGAGAATAGCTCAGTTGGTACAGGTTTGGCAGGGTAAGAGAGAATTGACAATTCAGTTTCATCTGTTAAATGTGACATACCCAGCTGAAATCCATGTAGAAATGTCTGCTACACAGTTGAAAATATATTCAAATCTGAGGTGGGGCTGTAACTCAGTTGGGAGATTATTCGCCTAGTATTTCCAAGGTCCTAGGTTTAATCCCCACTGCTGCATGAACCAGGCACGATACACCTGAAATCCCAGCATGCAGGAGGTGAAGGCAGGAAAACCAGATGTTCAAGGCCATACTCAACTACAGTACATGCTCAAGGCCAGTGTGGGCAAAACAAGACTCTATCTTAAGAAGAAAGGAAGGAAGGGAGGGACAGAGGAAGTGAGGGAGGGAGGAAGGATACACACCACGACTCTCAAGTACACGTGGCTGGAGACATCAGCATCCACAAGGAGTTAAAGGCTAGGACCAGCTGAGATCCCCACAGTCTCAGGGCCCCTCATGCTCTAAGAACTCAGAGAAGTAAGGAAGCCACTGGAGTAATTCTCCTGCGGCAGCTATGTGACGAGACTTGTTTCTGGAAGTCAATTAAAGAAGCTCGTCACTGAGGATGGGAGAAGTTACACTGTCGACTGTTTGTGTGAACAGGCTCCTCCTCCTCTCTCTATCTGCGTTTTCTTTTCAAATTCCAAGAAGAATCCATTCTAGGAAACAGGTCTGAAGGTATCCGTGCGCCTTTAATATCTGTGTATTCTGTTAAGTTGGCAGACTCTCGAGTTACTCTGCTGGCTTGGTTCAGGATATCTGGGCTCCTCTGGAGAAAAATATCAAGTTTCTGGGTTGATTCCCAGAAGCAACCTTGGGGAAATTTAAGGGAACTCTCTGGTCTCCCACTGCACAGGCCTCTCCTGTGTCTGCGGTACTAGAGAGGACAGAATGTCTGTACTCAGTCATCGTGGGCTGTGAATTACCCTCTCTAAGCCATTAAAAATTCATACTTCTAAGTAAATCCTGTTTCCACATGTTGCATTAAACATCTGAGGTAACTTCAGGCAAAATAGTAAACCCCTGAATTCTTCCTATAAAGTAAGAATAACTTGTGAGCTGAGTTGGGTCTCCTGAGGGCAGATCTAATTTAAAGTTGCTTTTTAAAAATCTTTAAAAATTATCCACTATTTCTTTAGGTAAAAGGCACATGACAGAAAGTTAGGATATAATGATGTTTAAGTAATAAACATGTAACAGATCTCACTTCAGTATCTAAGTAATAGATGCCATACCCTAAGTCATTTCAAAGTTTAAATGATTCCCCTTTCCTAAGCCAGGAGTCAGAGCTTGAACTTCAGTCATAAGAAGAGAGAGAGAGGGATGGTGTAGCTCATCAGCAGAGCCGTTTCTGCTCTTTTTAGAAATAATGGTAAGAAGCCGAGACAGGAACCAACTCAGATAGGGGCGTTTCTCCAGCCAGATAAAAAGTTTCTAAATGTCAGTTGTCAAAACAAATTCGTTCCCTCTGGGAAACAGGAAGAGAGGTTAAGACTCACCCAGCAGAGCCAATCCTTTCTCTTTCCTCCTCCAAAGCAACACCAGATTCAATTAGAATGATCAGAACAGCTA